ATCATCATCATCATCATCATCATCATCATCATCATCATCATCATCATCATCATACTAATGATGATAATAATAATAAAAATAATGATATTGATAAAAATAATAATACAAGTATTATATAGCGCAAATTCACACCCTACAGCATGCTCTATACTCTTTACAACCATTGAAGCCCCAGAAATCTCAAGAACATTCTTGGCTTCCTGAGAAGGATTACGAGTGTCACGTCGGTGGGCTAATGGTTAGGCTTTCGGACTCGCAACTGTAAGGCCGTGGGTTCAAATCCCGTCAAGGGTCCAACCTTGCGTCCTTGGGAAAATTTCTTCACTTCACGCAGGTCGGAATGGGTAACCAGGTATAGATAGTGAACGATCTTGTCAGTTTGTTAGTATTTGAGCACTTAATCAGCTCCTTGCACTGTACGCTTCTCGGATGGTCTGCTGGGGTAATAATATAGTGTAAAGCGCATATAGCTTGCCTTTGAGCGGGGTATGCGCCATGCTAATGCTATTTTTTCGTTATTAATATGTGCGAGGTTTTTTGGTGAGAACTTCTCAAGGTGTGGAAATGGTTATTTCCTGATATCATGTTTCGAACTTCCCCAAGAACTTTGGTTTATATATGCCGATCCTCACTCCTATTGTCTGCTTTTTATATAAGTTACCATTAGTTTTGGTTTAAAGTTTCCTGTATGTACCGAAACTGCTACTGAAAATGATATAACCCTGTGCACTATTTAGGGCCTACATATTTCACCGGCGTCTGTGGTGAAATTATCAGGTTCTTGGACTTGCAACCAGAAAACATTATTTCACTATCAAGGTGGGGAAGGTAATCTTAAGGAATGTCTCCCTCCGACTTTCAGCTAAGATTTTGCATCCCTCTCAGCTCGCTTTCTGAATAGACTTAAACATCTTATGTAGACGAAGACGTAACATAATGATAATTATTTTTAGTATAAACGATTTAGTCGCCTGAGGCGCCACTCTCTCTCTCTCTCTCTCTCTCTCTCTCTCTCTCTCTCTCTCTCTCTCTCTCTCTCTCTGTAACATGTCTGACAACAATTTGAACCAAAGCATGATAGGTTTTTTTGTTTTTGTTTCTATTCCAGATCTGTATCGTGCTGGCCACGTTATGCAGTTTGGTGTATTCACAGACCTGTGAGTAGACATTCATTCAAGGTCACAAGAGATTCAAAGCGGGTTCGATAAATGAGAGGGGCGAGGGCCGGGTAACAATATTATTATTGTTCGATACAAGTAATATGATACTCGTGTGTTAAATGAGAAGGAAAAAAAATCACATTAAAATCGAACACAATTCTTTTCGTCTTTAAAGTGACAAACGTTTTATTGAACACATCAGTATAACACTTATTGTATTAGACAATGATATTGTTATCCAACCCCTGTTTTTTAAAAAGAAGTTATGAAGTCTGGAAAAGTGCATTTACATTTAATTTACAATGTAGAGTTGAACTGAATTTTTAAAAAAATGTTTTGGTGGCTAAGTCTCAAATACCGCACAAACACAACTGTTTACATTTTGTTTTCTCTCATGGTGGCATGGCGGTGGGCAAGTAAACTGACCCAGTGGGATGGATCTGGACTGTAGGTCGTAGTTTGATGACCCCTGAACTACAAAAGTGGATCAGAAAGTAATGAAAGTTGCCATCTAACGGTTAAGATACTGACATGTCAAAAAAGCAATAGACCTACACAAACATTAATTTATAATAATAATAATAATAATAATAATAATAATAATAATAATAATAATAATAATAATGATGTCATCTCTTGAGCTAACCACATCACCCTAGAATAAAAAAGTTTTATTTTCCCAGTACCAAGTTTTGAAAAATGTGACATTAAATCCTTTCTACCCCCCCCCCTCTCTCTCTCTCTCTCTCTCTCTCTCTCTCTCTCTCTCTCTCTCTCTCTCTCTCTCTCTCTCTCTCTTTCTCTCTCTCTCTCTCTCTCTCTCTCCCTCTGCTTTTCTATATATATCTCTCCTTGCCCACCATTTTCCCTTTTCAACAGTAAACAATATTTTAATCCGACCGAACCACTTCAATGTATAGTTATCATTCATTTAGAAGGAGGAAGGGTTGATTGTTTGCAGTCATCAGACGTAAAAAAAACATTATGTATATAAATTGATGAATAAATAGTACAAAAGATGTTTGTCCACTGAACTCATTTTAAGCTTTTTTTTGTAAATAGACTTTTTTTTCGCCGGTGGCACATTTGAAAACAATAAATTATTATTTTTTTCAATGTTTCCCCAAAGCCATTATAGTAACCGTTGCAAGAACTGAATACCCGAAGCGGAAACTAACGGGACTTTGTACAAAATCACCCTTTAATTCTACAAAATATGGGCATAAAACCGAAACAAGTTTGTGCTCTATAAATTTAACATTTTTCTTCAACGTTAACATTTATTTGTGACGAACAGCTCTTCAAAGTCAGAAACACAATATAGCTTGTGACATATACAATGGCATTTCGCTACCTTTAAATTATGAAATTCTATCTGACATTATTGGCTGTTTTGAGTTACTAAGACAATAACGTCAGAAACCAAATGTTTTGTCTGCTCTATCAAAATCGTAAGATTATTCTGAGTCATGATCAAGACATTCAAAGAAATGTATTCGACAAAGCTTGACATGATGTGAAACTCAAAATCTTTGACGTCAAAAAATTTCTCAAAACGGAGCAAAAAAAGACTTTGTAATTTGGAGTTAGCGATTTGTTGATAATTTGCCTTCTTCTCCTTCGAGATATCAATTATGTCTCAACGTTTCAGAAGTCATTAAAAAAAATAGTGAAAATGTATTTTAGGTATAATACACCTTTCACGTCTAATATCACACATTCAGCATGCCGTGGCCTCTTGCTAAGAAAAAATAATAATTTGTACATTTATTTTTTAAACGTATATCATTATGTTGTCGCACACCTATAGTACAGACATAATTCAGATAGTTTGGGAGGTGAGATTTGACCCTGCATAACACGGCCAACTAGGGCTGAAAGGGATACAGCATCCTTGCAGAAAGATCGAAATACTTGATAAAAATATTAACTAAATGGGAATCTAACTCAGGTCCTTTGTGTGAGACGCCGACTCTCCTAACTACTACACCACAAACGTGGGTGAAACATGTCGTATAATGTGCCCCAGGAGGCCAATATGTGAAAAGTATAGGGATGGGTAAACCGATTAGTAACGCTGTACTCATTTCACTGTCTTTTACTTCCCCAGATCCAAATCTTTTCACCAACCTTCTTGCCTCTCAGCCATCAGGTAATTGGACCTATATCATTAATATAACGATTATATTATATTAGTATTGTGTTTTTGTTAATATATTGCGTTGTGTTGTGTTGTGTTTTGTTGTGCTGTGTCGTGTTGTATCGTGCTGTGCAGTGTTTTGCTGGGTTTGTGTTGTGCAGTGTTTTGCCGTGTTGTGTTGTGCTTGTGTTCAAAGAATTACATTACAATGCATTGTATTGATCTGCATGTACTGTCCAGCATAGTATTGTATAGTACGTATTGTTTCGCATCATATAGTATTGTAATGTATCGTTCTGCATTTTATTATACTGCACACATTGTATAAGACTGAACTCTTTTTTAAAACATTATACTCAGTGCAATACAATGTCCAATTGTGTGGTGAAACGAGGCGCTCCTTAAAGAAGTGAAATCGAAGAGACCGACTTTTTGCCGCTATTTGACGTGAAAATACCGATTTTCTCAAACGGCTCAATACCATTCACACCCCTTTAAAAATACATTTCTGTAGGGATTTTTAAACGACACAGTGGAATCAGGTGCTCATCTGTCTTTTCGACATAAGAACTTATTGGTATCATCTTAAAGCACGTTCATTTGTCTTTATTTGGATTGAAGTAATACTCATCTATATTAAATAGAAGTCAAAATATTTGCTAAATGCTATTGAATGAGGTTGGGGTCACTTGGTTTCAGAGATAAGATTAAGCTTGAGAGCCTTTAATCAACGTTTTTCAGTTAAACCTACACAGAAATATGCATATACGTAAATGGACATGTGTTGAGTCAACTACCGCCCCCCCCCCTAAAAAAGAAAAAAAAATTAGAATAAATGATTTTCAAAATAAAAATTGCCAAACGAGTGGAAACAATACCCGTTTGTTCAACTTTATCATTTTGACGAGCGTCTGATTTCACCACGTTTCCTCGCATAATATTATGAATACTTCTTCCCACACACGCACACACGTCCAACTCTGTGTCCGCAGGCGGCAGCTTGGATCCCTCCCTGAACGCCGGCATGCCACCCCCTGCTCCCGCAGGCACCCCTGACCTCTCGAGTCTGCTCACACAGAGTAACCCGACGAGCCAGCCAAGGAGTAACCCTTTGGTGCCCACCAACACAGGCTTCGCTACCGGCTTGCCCAACGCTCTGCCCCCTAACCCAAGCTACCCAACGTTGTCAAGCCCTCAAACTGGATACCCCAACATGCCCGCCCCTCTGCCGCCACCTAGTGAGTGCTGGCTGACGCCACAGTCGTTTCTTCCACCATATTTGAATATTTGAATGTGTCTGGTTGTGTTTTGTGCTCTGCCTTGTTTATTTCTTCGTCTTTTGAATAATATTGTAGCAGTCTTCTCTCTCTCTCTCTCTCTCTCTCTCTCTCAATTCTTTCCTCTTTTTTGGCTTGCCTGATATTATTTTAATAATTGAAAGCTTGAATCCCTTTCAGTCTATTCTACTTTTGTTCGATTTACGCTTTCTAATATTTGTCTGACAGTTGTTCGGAATAAGCTCAAAAATTTTGATATTTTCTACTTTACCTTTACAATAGTTTCCTAAATACTAAATAGTGGCACTGGGTGCATGAGCGAAAGAAATATTTTGTCAAAATTCAAATTCTATAAACAAAAGACGAAAGAGTACGGCAATCTCTCTGTGCATGTGTGTCTGTGTGTGTATGTGTGTGTGTGTGTGTGTGTGTGTGTGTGTGTGTGTGTGTGTGTGTATGTGTGTGCGTGTGTGTGTGTGTGTGTCCATGTGTGTGTATGTACATGTATAAAATGTATCTGAGTGTGATTGTGAGATTCAATGAGTGTGTGTTTACATCTAACTATGTGTGTATGTGTGTGGGCGTGTGTTTGTGTTTGTGTAGGTATGGGTGTGTTTTTGTGTGTATGTGTGTGGCGCACGCGCGCTTGCATGTGTGTGCTTGTGTGCGTGTGTGTGTTTGTGATACACGTCAGAATAATTGTCTTAAGTCTACTAGTATTCCCACTCATGCAATACTATCTACGAGATTGCAATATTTATATACCCGAAATATTTCTATTTCAGATCCCCTACAGAGAATATTTCCATACCTGTAAGTATGATGCGATTATGTTACTCTTACGTAACATTTTAGGGTATCCCCTTTTTTTTAACTGTCCTCCTACCAATGTGTGCTGACCATATGGAAAAGACGGTGTGTTCGAAATAAACTCGCTTTCTTCAAGATTCCCCAAATTCATTTATTGCTAAATAAAACTAATGTCCGTGTTCAATGACTCTGAAAATGAAAAGAAGAAAGAAAGGGGAAGTAAACAAAGGAAAAGAAGAGCGTAATGAGGTCAACGACCACAAACGGAAGTTCATTCGAAAAGTCGAAACTTTTAAAGATGACAACATAATATTGTTAAGGAGAAAAGTGGTCGTATTAGTCAGGTTGCCGTCTTGCACAGTGATATTATATACGAGGAAATGGGAAGCAACCGTTTGCACTGGGGGTTGTTTTATAAAGGTGGCCACTAGCATTCAATATGAGGTCATGCCTATCAAGAGGCCTAGTAGTTTTTAGAATAGATGAACAACTTACCTCGTGGGATAGCGTACAATTGCTGCATAATGGATCCCAGTAACTATTTTCTTCTTATAAGAGCACACTTAATCCCTTAATCCCATTAGCCGGTTCTTTCTAGCTTTACTACGAAAATTGGCAAGAGTAAATTTGCTCCCCCCCCCCCCTTCAGTCCCCATTTTGAAAGTAAGTTAAAAGCGCCCTTTGTGTATGACGTCACAGTGACCCAAATAAAGCCGAACTGAGATTGGGTAACTTTCCTTATACACAAAAACTGGTACAACGTTGGCTCAATCCGTTCTTCTTGACTCCGCGTAAGGTTTGCAATAAAGAGGAGGATATCGGGTGGTCAAATAGGACACTGGACAGAGAGGAAACCCTAACCAATCGAGCCAGGATTTGAACGATGAACTTTTAAAAGTTGGCCACATTCGGATTATTTTGTCTTCTCTAACAGCGGTTAGAGATTTAGTTGTTGGATTAGCATTCTTGTCAGAATTTTAAAAAAAAATTATATTATCATAAAAAGTAATAAAATCAAAACGCGTCTTTCACGAATGACGCCAAGGCAATTTACGTGCGACCTCCCAAGGAAGTGAAGACCCTAGGTGTGTTAAGTACGTCATGTCATTTCTAAATGGGTTGGGGGAGGGGGGGAGAAGAAAAATGGAAAGGGGGGGGGGGCTTTATAGTTTACCTTTACCAACCTACTTTGAAGATTAATTTTACTTCATCATCATCATCATCATCATCATCATCATCATCATCATCATCATCATCATCAGCATCATCATCATCATCATCATGATCATCATCCCTTTCCCCATTCACCATACCACCATCCGTCGTTAAACTTCCACCAGCACCATTTTCACCGCCACAACCACCATCATTTTTTTTTACAGCCACCACCACTACAACCACTACAACCACAACAACCACCCCTACCACTCCACCCGCGTCACTCCCCCGCCGTACAAGTTACCAATATTTCAATCCTCACTAACCCCCTCCCCCCCCCCCCCCATCCCCGTTCTTGTTCGCTCGTCAGATTGATGTCTGGCCGTGACATTAACCCGCTCTCGATGCTGTTCATGGGCCGTGGCTCACCGCTGATGCAGAGCCCACTCTTAATGTGGAGCTTTCTGAACAACATGTAAAAAAACCCAACCTAGCAATAACAACGAAACAGACATACCAATAAAAAATCAACATTTGTTGCAAACAGAAGTTTTCGGAGAGAAGTACATTTTTTTAATCAAGTCGACGTTTTGGTGGGAGTTTATTAATTTTTTTTTTACGAAACAGATTGTGATGTATAATTGTGACTTATTGCCTTACTTTGAAAACACATTTAATGTGGCTTTGATTTATGGATAGTTTCGAAATTGTTGGTGTTGATTACCACCAATTAACTGGCGTCGTGTATCATTTTGGAAACTACCTCAGTACTTCTGAATGACGCAAACGATTGATAAATCCTGTGAACCTTACGGCCAGTGTTATCGACTCTGCTGCTAGGAAGGAACGTAAGGAGCAACGATTAAATCAGTAATGAATACTGGTTTTATCTGACAGGTGTCTTTGAGTGTGAACACTTTACTTATAAAAGATGCTAATTTGTTCTTATATTTCTGTTACAATAAATTATATTACGGCTACACTCACATGTTATAGTCTTTTGAATGATTGATTTTCTGTACAGTAAGTTATTTAATTTCTTTTTCTAATAGGAGGTAAGTTTGGCTTTACTTATTACGTTTGTCCCTGTTCGGTTTTGCCTCTTCTTTGTAATCGCTTCAATGATTAGGTCCTCTTTTTCTGTATATTTCTGTATAAACCATTCTCTTTTGTCGAATTTAAAACAAATTGAAAACGCTTTTCAATTAGAATTCGGGAACTCACTAAATGCAAGCTGGTATAAAGGACGAAGTCAAGGGTGGTACGTCCAAGTTAATATTATCACAATTATTGCACATACGGGCATGAGGTACAATGTTATTTGTTTCACCCCCCCC